AGGTCAACCTAATCAAAATTTCGGTCTGAGTTTATAGATCACTGATAGCGATCAATGACAAATAAGAAAGCACGTTTGTTGCATTCGTAGTTGGGAACGATTTGTGCAATAATTTTGCCAATATCGTTCGGTTGATAAACGTGAGGGAGACAATCAAGAATTATGTCACTGATACACATATTTCACAGTGTGATTAATTAATTTGTGTCGTGTGTCGGATGAAAATATTCCGCAATTACAGAAAATGAACGGTTCAAAATGAAAGTGTATATTGAGCGAAAATCAATCACACGCATTTTCTAAACTATGCATTCTCAGCTTTGTTAAAGTCACGAGTTTATTGGCGATGGTTAAAAATATTTCAAACCGAATTACTTCTCGACGTTTCGATTGTTAGTATCCACAATCGTCTTCGGGTGACGACTGGACTATTCCTCCGAGAGATGACTATTTATAGTCACCTATATCCTCTTTCCTTTCTCCACTTCACCGGTATAGCGGGGGTTGACTGTTTTTCTGCTTGAATCAAGGTTTCCATATGTTGCGTATCTCTACGCTAGCTTGTCTGAATGCGTCGTTGGACAATATTTATGCGGCTTCTTTGAACTTCCTCTTGAACCAGTGTTCTTACCTGTGGTTAATCTCAGCTTGGGAGCACTTGATGATTTGTTGATGAGTCCAAACATGTTCTTCCATTCTCGATTTGCTGGTTTCTCCTCGCTGTGTTTCTCTTGTGTTCGGCAATGTGGACTTCCAATGGCCTTTTAGAATCTGGGCTTCTTGTGGACTTCTTCAATGGCCAGAGTTTCAAACTGCCCCCATATACAGGGGTGCGCAAAAGTCCGGAATAAAATTAATATCTTTTTGAACAGTATTTTAGGAAAAAAACGCTGAAACACGTCAGTTGATTTCACGTTGTACGCATTTTTTGGCAATAAAATGAAATTTTAAAAATGAGAGAAAACTCTTTTGAAAAGTTACAAATACCTAACCCTAACGGGTGAATTAACGTAACAGATGTTGAAATTGGCCTCCACCCTCTACTTGGCAGGCTCCTAGGCGATGTAAAACCCGTCTACGGAATTCCAAATGGCCTCAGCCGGTATGTTATGTGATTTCACTCTAATTCTGCTTTTTAGATCTTCAATATTAGCCGGGCTATTTTGATAAACCTTGTCTTTCATGTATCCCCAATAAAAATAATCTAATGGCGTTAAGTCTGGGGATCTTGGGGCGGTCATTCAATTGTACCACATCGTCCAATCCAGCGTCCTGCAAATATGTCATCGAGATATTATCTGACATTAATACCAAAATGTGGGGGAGCGCCGTCCTGTTGGAACCAAAGTGTTTCAGTGGGGATATCTGGATCTGCTTCATTGGGAAACATAACAGCTTAAGCAGGGACTAATTCAAAGTAGCGTGCAGCTGTAAGGTTTCCCTCAAAAAAGTATGACCCTAATATTCCGTTGTTGATGATGCCTGCCCATACATTTATTTTCTGAGGACGCTGCGTACGAGCTTCGCATATCCAGTGTGGGTTTTCCTGACTCCAGAATCGATAGTTTTGCCTGTTCACTACTCCATGTAAATAAAAAGTAGCTTCGTCCGAGAAGAGTATGTTGAGTGGAAACCCATTATTCTTCGTCACATCGCCTAATTATTTCCTCACAAAATTACAAACGCCTGTCATAGTCATCTTCCAAGAGCTCTTGGACATGACATACCTTATATGGGTGGTATTTTTCTGTTTTCAAAAACCTCCCAATCGTATGTCTAGACGCAGGATTGTTTTGGGCTAATGAAACCGTTGACAAATGTGGATCTTCCTTCAGAGATATGGCAATGTATAATTTTTGATCTTCGTCTAAAACATGTGGCCGGCCACTTCTGGACAAGTCCTTCACTGTACCATGTTCTTCAAATTTGTGTAAGATCTTACACACAGTAGCCTGAGAAATGTGATTTTCCGGATATTTTGCATTGAATAAAGTACACACCTCACTTTGACTCGGCATTCCAGCTCCACATCTCAACAATATCAAGACTTCGATACGCTGCCTCTCTGGCAATACCATTTTTGTTTAGCAAATTGAAAAAGAACACTTTGAAGGTACCCAATTAATAAACTAACCATACATATTTTCAATTTCACCCAGAAATGCCACAATTTTAAAACTTTTTGAGGTACACTGGTCAACAATTGCTTGGGATGGAACTAATTTTATGTGTGAATTTTTGGTGAAAAAATAAAATCCACAGAATGTTGATGCTACATTACGTTATCAGTTTTACACATAAATCAATAAAATTTGTTGTGGTGCCTGGCCCGGTTAGTCTGTTCTTAAAATTTGTAAACTGTTAGAAAGTAGGTACTGGTGATCCTTAGCAATTGTTGAGCAATGTACATTATCACCAATTATTCGTTTTTTGCAACGTTAATTCATCCGTAGATAGCACTAAGTAGGTATTTCTAACTTTTTTGGTTTTAAAAGAGTTTTTCTCATTTCGTGGTAACCGCATGAGTAAAAAAAATAGAGGGTATGATCAGATTCCATTTTTTACGAGCTTTTCAATGAACCCATACACGACATAGGTTTGCATTTGAAAAAAAAAGTTGGGGAGGGTTGCAGCTAAGGGGTTGAAAAAAAAATATTTCATTTTATTGCAAAAAATGCGTACAACGTGAAATCAACTGACGTGTTTCAGCGTTTTTTTCCTAAAATACTGGTTAAAAAGATATTAATTTTATTCCGGACTTTTGCAAACCTCTGTATATGTTGGCTATAACTGATGAAAGTGGCGATGCCATTTCATGAAAGTGGCGCTGCCATATCAAACAAGTGCTGATGTCTTTGGGAATCCCATAACTCGTGTACTTTCTGGCTGCTGATTTGTGGGTATGCCGAGGCGACAATTTTTCTTGTATGTCGAGAGCCAGGTTCTAACATTTCTTTTTGTGGTTCCAATGTAGATCGATGTTTGCCGATTATAATTTAATGTTCAGCAGTATTTTGGGACCTAAAAAAGGCTTTTGACTGTGTAGACCACAAAATACTTCTGCGGAAACTACATTGCTACGGCTGTGAGGGAGTTGCTTTGGATTGGTTCGAATCCTACCTAACTGGGCGCAGTCAAGTCGTAAAAAGTGATATAACTTCAAAATATATTAATATAGATTATGGAGTGCCACAAGGATCTGTTTTGGGATACACTCTTTTTCTTGTATATATCAATGATTTACTGTGTATAAACACTTCTGGAAAAATTAACTTATTTGCAGACGACACCACCATTTTATGGCCTAGTAAAACTGTTGAAGATCTGAATAATAAGATAATCAGAGATATTAATGTAATCAAGTCTTGTTGCGACTCGAATCTTCTCTCTTTTGATATAAAAAAAAACAAATATAATAACTTTCAAATGTACTTCAGAAGATATGCCTCTAGAAAATGAGAAGATTGAAAATAAAGATTGCACAAAATTTTTGGGCCTTTATATTGACAGTAAATTGAAGTTTGAAGCACACGTCAACCAATTGAAGAATAAAATCTCCTCAGGGTGCTATGCAATGAGAATTATTTGAAGGAAACTTGGTACTGCCACGGCTATGAACGCATATTATGCATTAATTGAATCTCAACTGAGATATGCCATTGCTTTCTGGGGGGTATGTAACTCTAGTCTGCTAGATTCAGTACTTAAACTGCAAAAGAGAGCCATTAGATATGTGTTCAAACTAGGACCGCGCAATTTATGTAGGTAGTTATTTGCAGAAAAAAATATATTGACAGTTGTGTCTCTCTTTGTAATGGAAACTGCGTGTCTTATACACAAACATAGGTCAAAATTTGAATATATTTCTTCGTATCATAGCACTCGCCTTAAATCTAAAAATAATTTTAAATTACCATTGCCTTCTTTATCCCTAGTAAAGGACTCCATTTTCTATAACGGTGTTAAAATGTATAATCACTTACCGTCTCATTTTAGAAATAGCCACGATAGTATTGACAGCTTTAGAAAATACACAACACACAAACAAGAGTTTTTTCGACAATAAAGTATATTTTGATTGATTGATTGATTGTTCGAGCCTGGTATCAGCCGGGGAAGTAGTTGTTATTGGCAGGCATTCACCAGAACTAAATATATATAGGTACGTCGAGAGAGATGAATTCCTGATTCTCTTCTTGTGGTCCATTACTGCTATTCTGCTAGTTTTGTGAGCTGTAAAACAAAAATTTGTTCCTATTTTATTATATTGTTTTCTTTCAATATAACTGTAGACACTTTTGTAACTATTTCACATGATAACCCCGGTATAGTCGTTTTAGTGAAGGTCGGCTTTGAGATCGTATAGTTCCTTGGATCTGTTGTGGTTGGATCTGTAGAGGTTTCGTTGGCGCTCCTTATGGATCAATAATTGACAGGGTGTTCCATTTGAAATAAGGAAGATTCTGCAAATTTTTATTTACAATATGTGGCAAGCGGTTTTTCATACCCTGTATATCACAGGTCGACTTCAGATATATCGTTTGAGAGAGTTACCACTGTAGAATATTTGACAAAAAAATAAATACAATTGGACTTGGCACAACTTTATAATTTCAAATATTCTGAGTGACGAATATTGGAAAAAAAACCTGTCATGCTAGATAACTCGAAAACCGTCAAAATTTTCGAAGTGAAGATATAAATAAAGTGTCTTTTATTTTCTATGTAGAAACCGAAAAAGCGATAAAAAATATAGGTTACCATTTAAAAAAACACAGTTGGGATCCGCCCAGAAAAAATTGAACACCCTGTGTGACCGCCAATATTTTTATTTTGTCAGGCTCGTGCAATAAGGTAATATTATAGAAATTTAGATTCCTATCTGTTTCCTAAATTGAGATATGGCAACACCGCGCCACTGTTGCAGGACCCTGTATAATGATTATTCGAAATGAATAGTGAATAATTATTCTCAACGCTAATAACCTGATCGTTTTCAGATATACGGCGGCATGCGCGGCATCAAAGGCCTCGTCTGCGAGACCTCCGTCCTGGACCCCGACGAAGGCATCCGCTTCCGCGGCCTCTCCATTCCGGAGTGCCAGAAGGTGCTGCCTAAGGCCGAAGGTGGACAGGAGCCGCTCCCTGAAGGCCTCTTCTGGCTGCTCATCACCGGCGACGTGCCCACAGATGCGCAGGTCAAGGCCCTTTCGAAGGAGTGGGCGGAGCGAGCTGAGCTGCCGCCCCACGTGGTGCAGCTGCTGAACTGCCTGCCCTCGTCGGTGCACCCCATGACGCAGCTTTCCGCCGCCGTTACAGTGCTCAACAGCGAGAGCAAGTTTGCCAACGCCTACTCTTGCGGAGTGCACAAGTCCAAATATTGGGAGGTGAGTGTTTTTTTTATTCATTTTTTATTAATTCACTTTCAGGTAAATGATATCTAAAAAAGAGTTTGTGTGTACTTACAGCTTGTCATATCTAGAAGAGATTTGAGAATTCTCTCTCTCTCTCGCTCTCATAGTCTTCTAAGAATGGTTTATCATTCCCTTTTTGAACCACACCTCCGTTATGGTATTTGCTTTTGGGGTGTGTGTTCTACCACATGCCTTCAATCAGTATTACTAATACAAAAACGTGCAATACGATGCATATGCAAAGCCAAGCCTAGGGACTCTTGTCGACCTCTTTTTGCCTCTAACAAAATCCTAACTGTGGTCTCCCTATTTATATACGAGACAATCTGCCTTGTCTTCAAAAATAGGGTATTGTTTAACAACTTGGACGCACCAATGTATCAAACCAGGCAAAGATTCAGCTTTAAATTACCGCTGCCTTCTTCGTCGCTAGTTAAAGATTCCATTATTTACAACGGTCTTAAAATGTTCAATCACCTTCCTCAAGCTATAAGAACCATAAATGACCTTAGAGCTCTTAAGAAAGAGTTGAGAGACTTGCTCTCTGGGAGACCTTATTATAGCTTAGCAGAATTCTATGATGATATTGATTTCATTTCATTCAATTTAGTTTAAATTGATTCATTTACATTTTGTTGACCATGTTCTTATATCCTGAACGTTTGTTATTATTTACATGTCTCTTTTCGGTTCATGTTATAACCTAGTTTTAGTGGTTTTACTTTTGTGATTTCATGTATATGTTATTTATATTTCGCACAAGGCTTTGTCAATAAGAATTTATTCTTCAGACAATAAAGTATATTAAATAAAAATAAAAATAACGAACGCACATCTAGTAGGCGAGACTATAACGGAATTCAGAAAGTTCTTCCTACATTTGACAAGCTGTGTGTACGCACGTAAGAAGTTATACTTTTTTGGCGTAACAAGAAATCTTTCTAAAAATTTTAACTTTCGTGTTATCCTACATTTGGGGGTACCAAAATAATTGGTACGAAACCAGATTAGGACATGGACCAATAAGAAGCATACAGAGTACTGGACAAAAGTACCTGGCAACAAACACAGTAGAACCTTCATTAGGGAACCGTCCTAGAAAAGAACTGAAGAACTACTTCAATATAAAGGGTTTTTCAATAAGGGCGGGTAGATGTTGAAATGGAATAAAACAAGCTGTGTGTGAGGTATTAACAAAATTATTTTTTTATTTGAAAGGCGCATGTATGCCATTAAGTGTGGAATATGACATCATTCAAATGCCCGCCTCGGCTTCTTAGGGTGGCACGGATCCGAGTGGTCCAATTTTCAAGAAACCCCGCAGGAAAAAGTCTAGTGGGGTCAAATACCATGACCTTGGTGGCCAATTCACATCACCCCTGCGAGAAATAACCTTACCCTCAAATCGTTCATGCAAAATGTCAATCGTGGCGTTTGCTGTGTGGCACGTAGCGCCGTCCTGCTGGAACCACATGTCGTCTAGGTCTATATGGTTCAATTTGGGCCATAAGAAATTAGTTATCATCGTTCTGTAGCGGTCGCTGTTGACGGTGACCGCTTCATTAACGTCGTTTTCAAAAAAGTACGGGCCAATTACGCCGCCGGCCCAAAATCCACACCAAACGGTAACTTTTTGAGGATGCATTATCACCTGGTGAACCTCGCGTGGGTTGGTGTCGGCCCATATACGGCAATTTTGCTTGTTAACACAGCCATTCATCCAAAAATGCGCCTCGTCACTAAAGATGATTTTTCGGGCAAAATTGGGGTCCTCTTCCAAACGATTCGAGTCAGCGAACAAACGGCGTTGTCCATGGTCATGAACTTTGAGCTCCTGGGACAGTTGGATCTTGTACGGGTGTAGGCCCAAGTCCCGACGCAAAATTCGCCAAGTTGAAGTCTGCGAAAGGCCAAGTTCTTGTGCACGGCTAGATAGACTGCCTCGGGTTCTGCTGTACACTTTCACGGACCGCGGCGATGTTCTCGGCCGATCTTGCGTTCCTTGAACGTACGGGTGTTGGGTGATTGTTTACTGAACCGGTCGTCTCAAATTTGGCCACCAAACGTTGAAGAGTCGACTGTGAAGGGCCACAACGTCTACCGTAAAATGGACGCAATGCGCGCACCGTTTGCGTTAACGAACACTCATTTTGATAATACAGTTTTATCATTTGAACGTGCTGTTCAATCGTGTAACTTGCCATGATGATTTGGCATAAGCAACTGAATAATAAACAAAAGATTTGACAGATGTCACCAAAACAAAATGGCCGCCACGGGGCGGCAAAATCTACCCGCGCCAATTGAAAAACCCTTTTGTAGGGATCGACTCAGAATAATTACAGGGTTACTAACCGGTCATTGTCCGCTTAGAGGACACCTGAATAAAATGGAGTCGTACAGCGGAGAGCTCAGCTGCAGATTATGCAACGACGGGATAGAAACAGCTCTACACATCTTATGCTAATGTGAGGCATTGAATCACAGGAAGCAGGCAATATATGGACGTACAAAATTACGCCCAGAAGAATATGACGAACATAACACGGAACCTGTACAAACTAGTACAGAGAACGAGACTTATGGAATGAGTGTCATGAGAAGATGGGAGAATAAACGCAATAAGCCCAAAAGGCTGCAGTGTTTGGACAAATTAGACAGCTCCCAAGGTACAAAAAAAACCTTTCCAGTTACGGTACATATTATAGCAACTCTGGCGACGTCTACCCAGGTCTACCCCTGATGAATTCTGCAACTCTTTAAAGTCGCCACATCGCAGGAGGAAGATTGTTGTTTCGGACAAGTACTAGTTGTCCTAACTGAATTTTGCCCTGGTCCCATTTCCATCGAGTTCTTTATGGAGTTCGCATACATACTTACTGCTCCAGCGGGTCCAAAACTGTTGGAGCAATCTTTTCATATGTTGGTACTGAGTGAGGCGGTTTTCGTTAACACGTTGGGTCAAAGGTGGTGGTAACATCATTGTTCTTCCAATTAAAAAATGTGCCGGTGATAGACAGGTTAAGTCATCGGGAGAGGCACGCATAGGAAATAAAGGAGTGAAAAAGGGACAAACTCAACGGCAGGTACCACGATGTGAAAGTCCAGTCATCCAGCTTGCTGTTCTCGACTGTCACGCTACTTCCGCCTCAGAAGGTGTTTGGCTACTTGTAATTTTCAATTTTTAGTTGAATTTTCTTCTAATAATCCGGCTCGAAGGACCATATGTTCGTGTAGTGAAACTGTGATATTGGTTTTCCAACGTTTATAATGATATAAAAATGTCGTATAGCAAAAATAATATTCATAATTGTGAAACAACGCCTGAGCTATTGCCTGCTGGAGCGTCGATTTTGAAGTGTTGATGGTCGATGATCTCGCAAGGGTTTCTGCAGCCTTCGCTGAACAGATGCGTAAGAGATGGGTCTGAACAGAAAGTTTTATTATAATGCGTTATCTAGTTAAATAAAGTTTATTTAAATATCATAAAATTATAGCAACTAAACAATTTCGATTTTGTTTGAGACTCGTCCGCTTGGGCTGGAGATATAGTGTTTTTATAAAGACACTCTAAGTAAGGAATTCAATCAAGACCAATGGTGCACTTCGGAAAGTTTGAAGGTGTTTTTTGACGTGCTGGACAACCCAGGAATTTCGGTACGTCCCAGGAGCGTACCATGTCATATGTGGTACATCCCAGGGATATCCCTAGTACCTACGTGTGTAGTACTTCTTTGGTCACCAAGAAAATTCACTTCTGTACCAAAATATTGTTTTTCCGTTTTTAGTCTCCTTTTGTCTTTCTAAATTATTTGGCAACCTAACTATGAATCCGTATATCTTATTACAAACAAAATATTCAGTTTCTATATTTAATTTTTATTAGTAACCAGATCTGCATGTTTCATGTCGACTTCATTATTGATCAGCTTACAGATTTCGGTATGTATCAGTTATACACGAGTTTTTTTACTCTTGATATCCTGTTGTGCTGATAGTGATATCATGGTTCGCAAAATCAGATAACAACTAGAATTTTGCGAAGAGATACAAAATTAAAATCTTGTTGACAGGACACATTTGATTAAAATATTGATACCGGAGATTAGTTCATGAATACGTGCTACTTTACTTGAACAAACAAAGATAAAGAGACACAATGGAGTCATAAGACATAATTGGTTTAACCGGTGATGGGTGGTATAATGGAGGTAAATAAGTCGTAGTCCCACTTGAAGATTGCAAAAGTTTGATAATTGCCATATAAATACTAGATTGTCCTATCAACTTTTGTTTCTCTTATCTGTGGGAAACAATTATAAACCGAGGATTTCCAATCATTCACAGACTTTTGATTCAATTCTAAATTTTTAGGCTTTGGGTTCAGACCGTATAGCCCTCAAAATGATCAATCTCTTTAACCCTTTTTTTGATAAATCATTTCACCTCGATCATAACAAACATTTTGGAAGGTTGGAATGGTTATCCTCTAGCTAAGTGTAACTCGCCTGCAGTCCTTTCTGACCTTAGACCACTTACAATAATTCTCCCTTGTCTCTCTAAAGTAGTGGAATTGATACTGAAAGATCAGTCAATGAAAATCATATTTCTAATCTGTTCAGTAAGATTACACGGAACAGTTCACACGGAACAGTTTAGTTTGTTATTCCCAAACACAAATCTTCCTTCTGAATTCACTGTTCTCGTATAATAAACCCAAACACTACAATGAACTACCCTGCGAGTTTCTATCTTATACAATGGAACGTTCGCTATTGATGGCTGTCAAACAAATACTAAACAATGCGGCGTCTTCAAACTTGAAACATGCTTTATAGATTGCATGTAGTTTCTAATACAGTGATATTTTTCAAACAACTACCGCCATCTTTGGGTCAGGCCGGGTACTTTTGGGACCACCCACTGTTCACCGAAGTCGTAGACGAAACGTCAGACACAAAAACATACGGACCGCGACTAACAAATAACCCAGAAAATAGTTTTGATATTGTAAATTCTTGTTGATAACCACTATGTACTTCTTTGCAGTACGCCTACGAAGACGCCATGGACTTGATCGCCAAGCTGCCAGTTATAGCGGCCACCATTTACCGCAACTCGTTCAAAGACGGGTCGGGCATCGGAGCGATCGACACTTCCAAAGACTGGAGCTACAACTTCACCACCATGCTGGGCTACGACGACCCGCAGTTCATCGAACTGATGAGGATGTACTTGACCATCCACAGCGACCACGAGGGCGGTAACGTTTCGGCGCATACAGTGCACCTCGTCGGATCCGCTCTCAGCGATCCCTACTTGGCTTTCGCCGCTGGAATGAACGGGTTGGCCGGTCCTCTGCACGGACTCGCTAACCAAGAGGTAAGATGGTAGAGGAGAGGTAGAGGGTATGAGGCCATCAAATTAGAGGTGGCAGGGTTGTTAAGAACAGAGTGCTAGGTAAGAAATAACAGAAGTGAAGAGTGCAGACTTGAACAGTGTGAAGTTGGAGAGTACATTGATAGAGTGCAGAGTTAGAGATAATAGAGGTTAAAAATGTAGAGTTAGAGATAATAGAGGGTAAGAATGCAGAGGTAGAGATAATAGAGGTTAGGAATACAGAGTTAGGGATAATAGAGGTCAAGATGTGCAGATTTAGAGATATTAGATGGTAAGAATGCAGAGTTAGAGATAATAGAGGTTAAGAATGCAGAGTTAGAGACAATAGAGGTTAAGAATGCAGAGTTAGAGATAATAGAGGGTAAGAATGCAGAGGTAGAGATAATAGAGGTTAGGAATACAGAGTTAGGGATAATAGAGATCAAGAATGCAGAGTTAGAGATAATAGAGGTTAGGAATGCAGAGTTAGAGATAATAGAGGTTAGGAATACAGAGTTAGGGATAATAGAGATCAAGAATGCAGAGTTAGAGATAATAGAGGTTAGGAATGCAGAGTTAGAGATAATAGAGGTTAGGAATGCAGAGTTAGAGATAATAGAGGTAAGGAATGCAGAGTTAGAGATAATAGAGGTTGAGAATGCAGAGTTAGAGACAATAGAGGTTAGGAATACAGAGTTAGGGATAATAGAGATCAAGAATGCAGAGTTAGAAATAATAGAGGTTAGGAATGCAGAGTTAGAGATAATAGAGGTTAGGAATGCAGAGTTAGAGATAATAGAGGTTAGGAATGCAGAGTTACAGATAATAGAGGTTGAGAATGCAGAGTTAGAGATAATAGAGGGTAAGAATGCAGAGCTACAGATAATAGAGGTTAGGAATACATATTTAGGGATAATAGAGATTAAGAATGCAGAGTTAGAGATAATAGAGATTAAGAATGCAGAGTTAGAGAGAACAATGTTGGAGAGTGCAAGGTTGAGGAGTGTCCAGGTAAAGGTTATAGAATAGAGTGCAGAATTAGTGAGGAGAGAGTTAGGAAATGTACAGTTGGGGACTACAGAGTTGAAGACTGTAGAGGTAGATAGTACAGCTTTATAGAGAGTAGAATTGAAGAACTTTAAAGAAATAACTGAGGAATGAAATGAATAGTTGAAGAGTATTGTGTTAGAGAGGATAGTCATTAGTGAGGAGTGAGTTACAGTAAACATGCACAGTTGGAGAGCAAAGAGTTAAAGGTATGCATGTAGAAAATGCAGAATTAGAGATAACAGAGATAGAGCATTTATAGTTGAAGAGTGAAGAACGTGAAGTTGGAGAGTGCAGAGAGGGAAAGTGTAGAGATAGATAGTTAGAGATGACATGGTTAGAGATAACACAGATGTAAGGCATTGTTAATGAGGATAGCAATGCACATTTAGAGAAAACAGAGTAGAAATGAAGAACGTAGGGTACTGTAGAGTTGGAGAGTACAGAGTAAAAGCGGTTATAGAGATACTCCTTGAAAGATTGAGGGGAATACTTGAAAAGAAACGTGAAAACTTGAAAGTGAAAGAGTTGATGAAAGAAAAAGGGACAAAGGGAATGAGAGGAATTAGAAATATAATTAAGTTGGGAAAAAAGAGTTTAGATTGAATACCACAAGACTTTTATCGAATGCAGAAGAGGGCATTTTGAGATTTATGAAATTCAACTCGAAGGACCCAACCAAATGTGAATTTTGAGAGTCATTTCCACAATCACCTTTTCTATAGGTACTTGTATGGCTGCAAAAGCTTCGTCAACAAGTCGGCGACAAAGCCACCGAGGAGCAATTGAAAGACTTCATTTGGAAAACACTCAAATCTGGCCAAGTCGTACCCGGTTACGGTCACGCCGTCTTGAGGAAAACCGATCCCCGTTACACGTGCCAGCGAGAATTTGCTTTGAAACATTTGCCAGAAGACCCTGTCTTCCAGGTAATCGAGTCTTTTGTTTTATAAAATGAGGTTATGAAACTGAAGTTCTGTTCTTTGTTCTGCAGCTGGTATCCAAACTTTATAAGATTGTACCTCCAATTCTCACGGAGCTCGGCAAAGTGAAGAACCCCTGGCCAAATGTAGATGCCCACTCCGGCGTTCTGTTACAGGTAAGCAGTTAAGTTTGAACAAATTTCATTTGTGACGGAAAATATTATCTTGGAAAAACAATTGGTTTTTTGCCAACGTTTCGAATTTTAAAATCATCAGACGTTTAAGGTGCATATTGAAAATGAAAAAACACTGCAGCAAACAAAGTAATCGTAGCCAACACAATACAATGACATGAAACAAACACGTGATTTTGTCTATAACTTTAACCAGATGGTACCTGGTTTTATTGGTGTAAAAAAAATTGAACTTTTGAACAGAAAGAAGAAATTATTTTGGCATTTCACTGATTTGATTGAAATATGCAGTACTCAGTACTACATATATCTTTTCGACGTCCCTTCTAGTGTCTATACTGTTGTGTTTGAGGATATGAATTATTTCGCTCGAAAGTCTTCGAGATGAATATGATCGGGCCTTTAGAATTGTGCATATGCTCTATTTCACGATCCAAAATGGCTGTGGAGTTCTTGATATCGAGTTGTTCAGAATCTTTCATGTGCTCTGAAACTCTTGTTTTGAGATGCGTCCGGTTTGGCCAACGTTTAGACATCTTTTTGATATATTTATTCTGTATCAGATTCTTTCACTGAGCTTTGCAATCTGTACATTTCAAGAAAAGTGAGTTTTGAATTTAAATAATTTTATGATACTTGTACATTCATAACTCCTTTTCCAGGAAGACAAATTAGGCAAGTTGAATGCTATCTAGTAAATGTACACATTGGTATAATGATTTGAGATGAATTTGTAAATATTCGTAGTCTTTGCAAATATTATTACAAAAACGTGTGTCGAATGATAAACAGTGTGGCATAATGTAGACTTTTATCAGATTGTTCAAACATACCACTGTCAGCTTAATCAGTTTGACACACCTCAGTAATTCATGTTATCATTTTAGGAGGAATTAATTAACGATTTGCAACAAAAGCTTCATTTTAATCAAATAGTAAAATATTGTTGGAAGTGAGCGTTTGATCTTGCTAACAAATAAATAATAAATGAGATGAAAAAGTTGAATTTTGTAACACTTATGTGGTTTCTTTAACAAGTGGTACACTTCACAACAGCTTCATTTAATTAATGAAAATACAGCATAACAATTTTACTACATATAAAAAAACACTATTACTTCATCATTTATTTCATTTGTTACTCACTGTTGCTTGCTAACGCTTGCTAAATGAGTTGTACTGAACTGAACTACCTGCAGGATGGTGCACATCCTTCGAAATGTTCCTTTACTTTCAGGTTAACCGATTGTTGACTTTTGCACATTTTCTCTTTCGAGAATTGGAATGAAATTTAGCACAATCTGTCGTTGAATATGCTAAAATGAAAATTTGAGGACAAATAGGTCGAATTGAATTGAAAAGTTATAAAAACTGTTTGTGGAAATTGCAAAAGAAACTACAAGTTTTGAATTGTTCTTTGATTCAGTGACAGCTTAGAAATTGGCAGCGTAATTTATTGACAGATAAAAATTTATAGAACCACTTAATACAACAATTTATGAACTGTTGTGACATGTAAACCAAAATGAAATTTAATGAAGATCATTCTACATATTAATTTTTACCTCTTGTTTATTACTGTCTCTGTATAGTATATAAGAAGTCAATGGCATAAGAACTAAATAGTTACCGAACGTCGGCAGTTTTTTTGTATGGCATGGGTAGCGTGGTATAATTTTGTTTTGTCGAAATAAACCTACACGGATTCTTTTCATTCCTAGTAAAGAGTAATGCATTTAGTCTTTTATTTAGCTGTTCGGATTGACTTCATATAAACTATACATTACAGACATTTCTGATAAACACTTCCTCCATTTGTTTTTCAAAGAAACAATAATTATAATACATACACGTGGACGTGCGATAGGTTTCATTATACATGTCCCAAACATCAAAAAAAAGGGCGAGAGCTACCATCTGATCTCCTTTTATGTATACTATAAATATTCCTCCTTATTTTCATAAATCTAAAGCTATCTGTACATTACTAGAAATTAAGGGGTTTCAAAATTATTCTAGTTTATTCTTAACAATGACAGCACGCATTTCATGCAAATCTAAATTTTATCAGGAGCGTATGTAGAAGAGTACCGAGGATAGATCCCTGAGGAACATCACATTTAACACACTCAAGATAACTAGTTATATCACCAAAGCTAACATAGAATGTAAACTTTCACGGCCGTAGATAACTGCGTCAAAGCCTTTTCCCGGCTTTTTTGGCCGTGGTCTACAGATCTTATGCCTGAAGTTTCGTCTACTACTGCGGTATACATTATCAAAGGGAATGAGGTAACGATCGAAGAGTTCGGGTTGTTCCTATCGTAGAGTTTTTGGGTTTCCAACACAGAAACTCTGTTTCGAGAACAACTTGGACACTTCAACTGTTACCGCAGTAGTTGACGAAACGTCAGGCATAAAAACCTGCAGACCACGACAAAAATAGCTTTGACACAAAATCTCACATAGGTTCAAATTTGAAAATTAGAGCCCAAACACAACATATTTGTGATTCAACACCAGACAGTGCTGTTTCGGCACGTCATAGGTCTCGTCATAGGTCTGAACCACGAATGCATTGGTAAAGTCCTTAAAGAACAAGCCTTAGTAAATGAAGACAATCAAATCTCACTCTAGGAAAAGGCCATCTTTGGGACCGACAGAGAACTGCAGTATCGAATCACAAATTCGTTGGTTTTAGGCTCTGATTTTCAACTTGTTGCTTCGCAGTGAAAGCTGCAGTGGAAGACAGAGGACTAATCTCATCAGCGGCCGATGTCGAAGCTGGCTTTGCTACTGAGCCCTCTGGGGAGCCTCGTTAATCTTTCATATTCCAGGATTGAATTCTTTATCGGTTGTATAAATGGCGCCTTTGTAAGAAGAGAGTTTTCTATCTTACAAATAATGGGGAATGTTCCTCAAATTGGGTTATTACAGCAAATGCAAGTTTGAACAACATAAAGTTGAGTTTAATTCATGAGTTTTTCAAATTCACTTCAAAAAGTATTCAAATGTTGGGTTCAGTTTTTAAAGGGATTTGTTTCTAATTCACATATTGGCAACAGCGCCCATATCAAGTTGAAATAATTTATACGTACTTAGATATTCTACTTTAAAAAAAGAAAATTATTTTTATAAATCAACAATTAAGGCAAAATATAAGTAATAGTTCAATACCACCTCCACAAGCCACATAAACAACAGTTGTTTTGTTGTTTATTTATATAGAGGAAGATAGGTTAGGTGCACAAAATGTCATATGTCACAGAATGTCTCGGAACTCGGAACATAAGTAAACAAAACAGCACGCCTCTGAAATATGTCATCTTTGTTTGTCTAATACAGGAAACAGATTCATTGTCCTTTATTAGCTGCGACCCAACGAATCCCTTTAAATGTTGAATGCATTATTTCATTCCTCTTTTTTAAGTATTTAAATGATATTTTAAAGAAAAAGGTTGAAATGATAAGTTTGAAATGCGTTGTTTTAGAGCTCTTTTATGAAAACTACTCGATTTTCGTCAGAGGAACATTCCTCACTATGAAACCAAATGTTCCTAATTTCTATTTGATGTATTTCACTCGAAAAAAATTTTGTGATTAACATGATCAAAATGCTTTTTTGTTTCAGTATTACGGACTAAAAGAAATGAACTACTACACCGTCCTCTTTGGCGTGTCGAGAGCCCTAGGAGTGTTGGCATCGCTAGTGTGGGACCGCGCCTTCGGCCTGCCCATCGAGAGACCCAAATCCATGTCGACGGACGGTCTGATGAAGGCGCTGAAGGCCAAGTAAATCCGTTGGCGAACCCTAGTTAAGTACCTTCTCCCGAGAGTTGGTTAGTTTGTAGAAACGGCTACTCGAGAGCTACGAACTACCTCGGTCTACAAAATTGCTCACATCGGTGTATTATGTCTATTGTTTTTTTTAGTGTGGGGGTGGTTTTCCGTTTCGAAATTCAAACGCAACAATATCATTTCCGGGTTCGTTCCTCTTCTGTAGCTGTTTTTGTTTCTCTGAAGCAGAACCGACGGATTTATTTATTTTGTTTTGTACAAAGGCTATGAGGTGTACATTTTGTTTGAGAATATTTATTTAGCATTTTTTAACTTGTTACATTGTCAACGCCTATTCAGCAGTTTTTTTTCTCAGTCCACCCAACTCATACAAATACATTGTGCAGGTTAGTTGTACTTAGTTGCAAATAGTGGAAACGTCAACCCGATAGTGAGTTTTTCAAACTGGTCAATAATTAACTTAGACAATATACGTTTTTAATTTCACAATGTTTTTTATTTGTTCCTCCACACTTTATCATGAGGGTGTACAAATTTATGCAATACAGCGGAAGATTATCCAAGAATTTTTTTGACATATCAGGGAGGGTGAATAAAAATGAAGGTGTTCAAGAAATATCAATAAAAATGTGGCAATACGTAGATTTTTTAATATGATGTGCTTGTCATGTTCATCATCCTAAGAAGCACCAGATAACAACATAACATACAGAGAGTTCAATAACGATTGAGGAATCATTAAAAGCTTAGTAAAATAAAAAAAATTGTCAAAGATACTATAAATTTTATGGCTCGCCCGTTGACTTGAATTCGACAGAGTACGTCACATTGTGACATTGGTGCATTATTTTGGAGGTAGAACATCAGTATGATGCTGTGACAACCTGGTGACTTGCATTTGACATGTAGGTCACATTGTGACTTTGCTGCAATATTCTGTAGAACGACAGCATGCTGCTGTGACAACTTGGTGACTTGCATTTGGTAGAATACGTCACATTGTGAAATTGGTACAGTATTTTGGAGGTAGTACATCAGTATGCTGCTGTGATAACCTGGTGACTTGCATTTGACATACTAGGTCACATTGTGACATTGCTGTAATATTTTGTAGAACGACAGCATGCTGCTGTAACAACATAGTGACTTGCATTTGACAGAGTATGTCACATTGTGACATTGGTACAGTATTTTGGAGGTAGTACGTCAGTATGCTGCTGTGACTACTTGGTGACTTGAATTTGTCACAGTAGGTCACATTGTGACATTGCTGCAATATTCTGTAGAACGACAGCATGCTGTTGTGACAACTTGGTGACTTGCATTTGGTAGAATACGTCACATTGTGAAATTGGTACAGTATTTTGGAGGTAGTACGTCAGTATGCTGCTCTGATAACCTGGTGACTTGCATTTGACATACTAAGTCACATTGTGACATTGCTGTAATATTTTGTAGAACGACAGCATGCTGTTGTGACAACCTGGTGACGACAGAATACGTCACTTTGTGACATTGGTGCAGTATTTTGGAGGTAGTACGTCAGTGTGCTGCTGTGACTACTTGGTGACTTGAATTTATCATAGTAGGTCACATTGTGACATTGCTGCAAAATTCTGTAAAACGACAGCATGCTGCTGTGACAACCTGGTGACTTGCATATGACAGAGTACGTCACATTGTGACATTGGTGCAGTATTTTGGAGGTAGTACGTCAGTATGCTGCTGTGACAACCTGGTGACTTGAATTTGACACAGTAGGTCACTTTGTGACATTGCTGTAATATTTTGTAGAACGACAGCATGCTATTGTGACAACCTGGTGACTTGCATTTGACAGAGTACATCACATTGCACATTGGTGCAGTATTTTGAAGGTAGTGAAATCAAAAATTGTATCGCACGACAGCATGCTATCCGAGAAGAGAACCGAAGAATTGCTTCAACAAAGTAGGGATCAGCTCAGAACAGTTACCGGGCTACTCATTGTACACTCTTTTGAGAGGACATCTGAACAAAATAGGACTGTACAACGGAGACCTCAACTTCAGTGTCAACTTAAGTCAGACGGCTCCCATATGAGAGAAAGGAGAAAGAAAAGGGCAAGTCAGGCAGCTTCTTAGCTTAGCTTAGTAGTAGGAAAAAAATCAAAAAAATCATCACAGATATTGTAAATTATGTCGCACGTCTTTATGCTTCTGCGACTTAGATTTGACGTAGTATGTACATTGTGACATTGTTTACATTGAAGTGTGAACTATTTTTCACGATTTTCTTGATATAAGATGGAAGTCTAAATTCACTGCTTTAAAAAAAAAATTTTAAATTTCTAATATAAGAATCAATTGAAAACAGAGGGACTCAAAGAAACAACAGTCACAACCATTCAAAAATTAGTCGTTCAAATTATTCATTGCTATAATCGTTTATATAAATGCGGAAGCCAGTTTTTCATAATGATGCCTGAGTTAATAAAGTGCACTGCTTATGACTCGGAAATAAAGGAATAAATCGCTACACCGATGAACAAATTCATGTGTTTTTATTGTGGACACTCCAACTGCGTAATTTTCAGTTGTGAGTACACAAAATATTTCCATTTATATATTAGCATAGGTACTTATTTCTACTTTTTCCCAATCCTGGTTTTCAAAAGCGCCATCTTGCAACAATAGTTCCTTGGACAAAGTAGAATTCTACCCAAGTTTTCTGGTGTTTCATCATTAAATCCTAGATGGCGCGATCTGTTACTTCTTGTAAAATATAATAGAACAAATACAGGGAGGTGCAATAGGATGTTATATTTTCTTAAGAGGAATGTGAGTTTCTTACAATATTTTCAAATATGATTATCCTTTCAATTTTGCAAAAGTTTTGTCAGATTGCACTGAAATGGACACACGAACCATAGAAGCAAACATTTTCTTTAACTAAATATATTTTCGTCGATGGGTAGAACTGGAAATTGATGTAACTTGTAGAAATTGTAAAAGCACAATTTTCGATGCTTTTTCGCTGACTGAATTGGCACTATCAATAAATGGTAGTACTGTTATTACTTCTTTAATATTCTTTGGCGGTGTCACTTCGTTTGGTGAAAATTGCATTGGATGGTTCTATTTTTTACAATTATGGTGTGTGGATTTTCATAAGGTTTATTCTAACTTCCAGGACGCAGCAAAATACCTTCGAATAAAAAGAATTGTATAGTAGTTATTTATTAATTTCTCGCTGAACTTCCTGAATTTTCATTTTGAAAAAGAAGAAAAAAATATGGAATTTGTGGGCCTTTAAAATCAGGAAAAGTAGCACTAGACACTATATCTACCTATTTGATTGGCTGTTCCATTTTCAAAAGAATCAAAACTGCAACTTCAACGGTTCAATTTATCATCTGACAAAGGCTCAAAATTCATCGTTCTTGCATACGAACTAAAATACACCTACGGGTTGGTTCCAACTTTTGAAAAATTAAATATGAAAGCAGATCTGTAATGTTAAACTTTGCTCGGCTTGATTGTTCCCCAACATTTATCGGTAAGTCACTCAACTCTGAAATGAGTTTGTGGTCAGAAGATCCCAATGGAGACATTGAGATGACTGTATATTTCTGGATCGGTTGTTAGGTATAGATCCAGAAAACAACCCTAGATCCGGCCCTGCTACTGGTACTTCCCTTTTCAATCAGGCACCACCGTATTCCGATCTCATATTCAAAGTTTCTCTTTCAACCGGTATCCAGAAAAGTTTATTTTTCAAGATCTAGCACTGTTTCCATTCCTATATGTCTATCTGACATTGACAGTAATCAAATTGTGTCACGAGTATTAGTTACACATTAGTTATATTTATTCGCATCGTCTAAAAGTTGCTGGTAAGAACGTTTCTGGATTGTCCACTGCATGCGAAATGCAGGAACAAGAACCTTTGGAGAAGAAACGTCCCAGATGTCCAAAGCCACTTCACCGTGACAATAGACACATATATGTCAAAAATTGACCGGCAGCGATTAGTTTAAATCCAACAATAACCTTTCGGATGTTTACCGATCCCAAACAATAAAGCTGTTACGGCGGCACAATACGAGCAGAGTGTGTGGTGGAAATTAGGACCAGCGGAGCCCATGATTGACAGTGGCGGGGGTCGACGCAGTGAGAAGAAAAGTTTGGCGCGTTCACCATGGACTTCGAGACGCTGGCTGCAGGTAAATAGCCGCCCCTCGGGGCTTTCCACCCTTAGCGTGCGTGTGCATCCCTTGTCGGAAAAGGGACGGAATGTGCGAAGTTATAAGTATTCGCTGCGTGCGGCGGTAATTCGGATCTCGTTAAGTTCGCGTATTAAGTGAATGATTGTTCTCTATTCTGTAACAATAGTCTGCCATAAAAAATCTAGGTTTGATGGCTCGAATTCGTTCAAGTTGTACGGGAACGCACGTAAGATATGCCATTTCATTTAGGTTTAGATATCCAGGAACAGAATAAAATCAAGTCCAACTCTTTGGGGCTAGACTATCTTGGGGCACTTCTGGTGAATCTCTTGTTATTGACACCACTTATTTTGGATAGGGATTTCATGAAAAAATAGTCGTCCCCATTAACTAATACATGGTACATACTATTTGTGATTGTGAATAGGTTCTGTCCATTTATTTTATTTCTTGCAAGCATCCAAAGTACCCTCACTCCTATTAAATAATAATAATAATAATTTTATTCCAGTCAGATCAATGTCGCTTTACGTATATTTATTTCCGGGACCATACTATTGTTTTTCAAACAGTATTGCATGAGAATGGTTTTGTTGTGGTTGAGTATTAATCGATTAGAGACACACCAGTTACTGAATTTGTTATGAAGTTCATTAACTTCATCATCAAATTCACAATAATTTTCTCTGTGAAATGCAACAGATACATCATCGGCATATAATACTGAGCAATCGGCATTCATATACTCTGGCAAATCATTGATGAACATAAGGAAAATCAATGTACCCAGTATAGATCCTTGTGGTACTCCCAGATTGATGGTATGCAATTCAGATCGTGCTCCATTGAGTTTCACAATAATTTTTTTGTGCCTCAAAAATGACATGAATCACTTCAGTATATTTCCACGAATTCCTAGTGAGTACAGTTTGGTTTCAGTATGATCCAGGTCTAGGCACTCAAAAGCTTTCGTGAGATCGAAAAAAAGGGCGCCTACAAGTTTTTTCCTGTCGAGTCTTTCATTCAGCGCTTCCTATCTTCAAATTTGAATAAAACAAACTGTGTGTGAGATATCATCAAAGTTTTTCATTCGTTTGAAAGACCTATTTTTGCCATTATGTTTGGGATACCCTCCTCAAATAGGTCGTGCAGAATATACAATTTGGCATGAGCTGTAGCGCCGTCCTGTTGAAAGCACATGTCGTTGGTATCCAGATCATCCAATTCAGACCAAAAGAAGTTGGTAAGCATCGACCTTCAGTGCTGTGATGGCCTGGCCAACGTCGTTCTCGAAGAAATATGGAAAGATGACGCCGCCAGCCCAAAATCCACACCAAACAGTGACTTTTTGGGATGCATTGGACGCTCTTGGATCTCACCTGTATTGCAAGTTCCAAATTCGACCATTTTTGTTTGTTTACATTCCCATTCATCCAGAAAAGGGACCTCATCGCTGAAGATGATTTTTAGATGGAAATTAGGATCAGTTGCTAACTGTTCCAGAGTCTATTCAGCGAACAAACGTCGTTTCCTATGGTCGTTTACTTTCAGTTTCTGGGTCAGCTCAATTTTGTACGGGTGCAGGTCCAAGTATGACCCATTTTGTAATGATTTTTTTCAGCACGAGTCTTGGAATCAACTTTTTCTAAATCTTTTTTTGGAGAATGAATACTTCCCTTGCATGTGAAGAAGCACCCCATATCAGTATTCCATAGTTTATGTAGCAGTGAGCCATACCAAAATATGCAATTATCAGCACATCATTCGAAAGTAAACTCCTTAGTCCTCTCAATGCGTAGCGAACCTTGAGAGCTTTTTACAGAACGCTGTCGCATGTCCATACCAATTAAATTTGTTGTCTAGGTGGAAACTTAGTAGACACACCTCTTGGTCATCCTCATTCATTTGGGATTTATTTGGGATAGTTATTTCCTGAGTTTCATTTGCGTTCAAGTATGAAACGTTAGCGCTAAAGTATGTTTCGCTTTTTGTAAGTGTTTTTACATGACGACTGATCTAGCTCCTCCACTTGTGACAAAAGTTGCATCATCGGCTTTTAAAAAAACATCTGCTGTATCAATATATATAGGAAGATCATTTATATACATAATAAATAAAAGGGGACCAAGTACGGATCCTTGAGGTACTCAGTGCTTGACGATTTTGATCTCGCTTGAATTTCCGTCAGCCAAGCCGTATGCAAAAACCATATCAACCATTTCAGCATTCATAAAGTCGGACATGGTACCAAAAAATCACTTTATAAACTCCGAATTGTGAATTTGTCAATTCATAGTTAAAAATGTAACAGCGAACTTCTATTTCTATGAACAAACTGTCACAGCCTACTTGATTTAATTAACTTAATTTGCAAGCGGAGAGTGACAAAAATAATTGAAATCAAATTTGGCTATAAAGTAATATGCATCGATATAGAAAATTGTAAATATCTCGAAAACGATCACCTCCAGCGTTGTTGAGGACGTGTACCTTTTTTACTTGGAAAAGGTGTGGGAATTAGGTTTTTTCATGAAAAGTATCCAAAGGTTACTGTCAAAAAAGTTAGTGCAATTTGAAATAAATAACAGCGTACGCAGCGCCGTCTAGATCTTACATGAAAATTATTACGAAATTATGATTTCCCACGTCAAAAAAACCCCGGGTACCGAATTTCGAGCAAATAACTTATTTTTTGCAAGAGGTATTTTCAAAAAGCGAACAAACAAATTCAATTTCAACACCCCGTATCTCCGAAACGAAGCATTTTCGGACAAAAGTTCATATAGACTTTTTTTTTGAATTGTCTCAGGAATACGTCACTTGAATATTTAACGTACTTATGTTACACCCTGTATATTGCAGCCTGTCTGTCAAAAAACAATGTATTAGGTCATACTTTATGCCTCTAATACCATTTTTTTCGAATTTTCTCAATAATATGTCATGTGAAACACTGTCAGATGCTTTAGATAGATAGCAAAGAAGTAAGCGAGTGGAGGGAGATACCCAAATTTTTATCATGGGCAACGGTGTGACTAATTTCCGTCATTGCTTGTGATGTAGACCTCATCGATCTGAAACCATATTGAGAAACGCCATTTTCAATGACAAATGACCTTGTTTTCATTAGCATATAAATATAAATAGTGCCCCTCCTAAAAGCTAGTTAACGCAAAATTTCAGTCTTAAACGATCTTTTAAAAAATTGATATTTCATGCAGCACTATCACATGAAGAAAAAATCATTATATAATCTGCTACATGACTGTATCCATTATTCAAAAACGACTGTAAATCGTGAAATTTGTTGAAAAACCAATTCGAGTTGTTTACACTTAAAAATTGATTATTTTGTGGTTAATACAATATTACCCATAATTACCAGAAATCAAAGTGGTGGAATATCATATGAATCAGGATTTACAATCTTTCAATCCTCTTTTATCTGCCTCAAATTCCTATTTGATGTTGAAAAAAATCTTCCGAATCCAAAATGTTTACTGAAATATACAGTGATAGAAGCAGACATACGAGTCGATATAAAATGATGAAGTATTGACTCAAGAATCAATTCGTCTAGATTTGTTGTCGTTTTAGTTACTTAATTGTGGTCTGCGAAAGGCCGAGTTTTTGTGAGCGACGCGAAATCGATTGCCTCGGATTCTCTTGCACACTCTCACAGACAACGGCGATGTTCTCGGCAGATCTTGCGTTTCTTCGACGTACGGGTGTTGGTTGGTTGATGAACGACAACTGATTTGGCAGATGTAGTTTCAACAAGATGAGCGTTATCAATTGGGGAAGTTCTGAAGTCCCTGCTGGAAGACCCTATATTTCATCAGGTTTACCATCTGATATGGTATTCCTCATTTCTTCCGTTCCCCAACACAATATTCGTTGTTTTTCTTCAAATTGTAATTTTGACCCCATTTGTAGGTTTTCTTGTATTTCAGGATTATTTATTTCGCCACTTTTTGTTACTCCTCTCACTTTCCTAATGCTCAATTTTTTAACTAACCTCATATATCAGAAACGCCAATTTTCACTCTATTGATAGTTTTTCTGGTAGAATTTCACGATTTTGTGGAAGAAATTGATTGCTCACGAAACTAGAATAGATTTTTCATCGAAACCTATTATTTTTCATATCTTAATCAATTTCTGAAATCAACCCTAACATATTTCAGGTGGTAGAACTCCGAGACGATGGCTGTATATATAGTCTTAATTCAAATGACAGAGAATGAACTGATAAAACTGTCTGATTGATTTGATTGACGAAAATAGAACTCAATTGGTTTCAAATATTGGACTGCATTATAGATATGTATTTTGAACGGTAGACAACAAAAAATCTGACGATTTTGAGTGCACTATTTTGACTTCATCATCTGATAGGATTAGATGTGCGAATTTAATCTAAGATAGCATAATTGAATTAAAAAGATTTATTGTTGAGTTAATAATCCAAAGTTGGGCCATCGATTCTTGGATTAGTGCTAGCTTGAGTTTGTAAACATTCATTACTGATAATTGAATCAGAATGGAAAAGTTAAGGTACTAGGCCGCTTCGGAGACAAATTCCTAATGGAGGTTCATTCTGGTCAGTTTCTGACCTCCGAGCGTAACCTTGTGAAACACCCAACTCGTCAGCGAGTGGTGCCACCATATTACGTTTTTTCTTTGTCGATACAATATCCTTGCTTTTTTCATTTGATCTGCTTCACGTCACGATCCGATTATTACACAACACAACAAAGTTTTTGTTTCGGGGTTGAAATTAGATGATTTTAATGTATTTCCACGTGTTAAAGGCGAAAGTGACCATAAAAATTATATATTAGCTCTTGTTTTCAAGATATAGTATCATTATATTATATATATGTATATTGAGTTTTCAACAAATGAAATATTTCATCACCAACAGTTGGTACACATGTTTGTTTACATAACACCCCTCTCATCAGCTGTTCTTAAGTAGTAAACATAACCTATGT